GGTCAAACCTTCGTGCTTTGTCTTCTTGTGGGCCAGTTCGGGCATTCCAGTCCCCTACAGTGGCATTTAAACCCAGTTTGGGTACGTCATTGACAAGAGATTTAGGACTACTGTTGAGCCCATCAAATTGAAGAGTTGGGGCGTATACGGTGATTACTGTAAGGTTTACTGGTTGGCTATTGAATCATGTTACTGCAGTCCTAGAGGATACCGCCTTCCAGGAAACTAAGATGTTATTAGCTTGATGGCTTAAATTAAGCGGCACTTCGTATTGACCTCACGTTTCATTGCCACTGTGATGCAACCAATATTGAGTAACGATTCGTCACGATAAGACTGCACCTTGGCGTGACAGCTTGTACACCTCTGTGACCCAACGAGCTACACAGGATGGTTTTTGTCGAGCCAAAGATTTAATCATGCCTGGATGGTCAATCAGTTAGTCGAAGTCCTCCAAGTTGGAGGTTCGATCTGAGTCGGTAAAAAATGGAGGAGTAATTGATCCGAGTTAATGGACCTCCAATCCACCTTAACCGCTGCCTTGCGGTTAGGTTCCTGTCAGAATTACAGGCTTTGGTTGAGAACCTTAATCGTCCTCCTGCTTAGCGGTTTGACACTCTGGCAGTAGCCGTCTATATTGCTCCAATGAACACAAACTAAAAATAATTTCATACTGCATCGGTCGTCGCGCAGGATAATCAGGACCGCGCTGCCCATTGCATCAAGCGGGGTGGGTAGTGATGGGTAGGCTACTGCTCACATATCCCAACCTTTGTCCAACTCTTTGTCTTCCGTACTCTGCCCTCCCTCTTCCGACCCATAACATTCCCTCAGACAGGTCGTCACTTGCCAAAGGTCATTGCCAAATAGAACTATAAATAATTTCCCTGTAAATAAAATGCAGATTCTGAAGCCTCGTCAACCTCTCAATCTGGGGCTTTCAACGTGAGGATTCTTATGCACGTGGGTTAATAAGTGTATCTTGCGCATACAATGGAGTCTAGAATTCGATGTCTTCTTCGTATCGGAGACAAATTCAGGATCCTAGTATTATAAGCCACCTGAGTGCACCGATTCTGTCCTCGAGGTATTTCCTTCGCACATCAGGAGACGGCGAAGCCCGCTCACTGGGTCAGCATGGTGTGGGGATTGTAATAAACGATAAAAACTTAGGCCTCTATAATAGATTCGATACCAGTCAATGGTCGTTGGTGCACAATGATGCTCCATGGTTCAATGAGTGTTCGGAAGGGTAGCAACACCAAAAGGCGTTTGATCATAATATCCGCATATGCGCCAGCCAACTGCAGTCCCGCTTCACAAAAGGACGAATTTTACGACAAACTCGCCGAACTCATTCGGTTGAGCCGCATTTCTGATATTATAGTGGTGACTGGTGATTTTACCACGCAGGTTGGAAAACAGCGCATCCGAAGCCTTTCCGCCCAGCGAATACACAACGATGCTCGACTACTTCAGTTCTGCGCGGATCATCGGTTGTTCTTATCTAGCACCAACTTTCGACACAGCTCTCGTTGAACGGCTACAAGTTGACCCAAATTGATCACATAGCTGTGAGCTACCTTTGGCGTGATTCAGTACAAAATTGCAGATCCTATTGATCCACGTGCGTTGAGTCGGACCATGCACTAATTCTGTTACGTTTCACTGTTCGATTCATCGGTCATGGGCAGAGATCGCCTCCTCAGTTAACTCATCATCGTCTGCGTGATCTATCTTTCTGCACACGTTATGAGGAGAAGCTGGGACAAGAGTTAAGGGAATCGCGACATGGTGGAGTAGACCAACAGTGGAATCAGATTATATTTGCGGGGCTTTCAGCAGAAAAATTTGCTTGTGGGACCGAGTCCAAAGTTCATCAAAGGCGTTGGATCTCACAGGAGTCAGCAGTCCTGATGGATCAAAAGCGAACGATCCTTATCTGCCAGGATCAGAATGGGGACCGGTGTCGCCTGTAACGTCAACTCATGAACTGAAGAAAGATCGCGAAAATTGGTGAGCCAAAATAGCTAGTGAAATGGAGGTAGCTTATACATTAGGGAATAGCCAAAGACTGTTTCACCTGATACGCAGCACCGGAGGTCGTCACACACCGGTCAGTGAAACTATTTGCGATAAAAGTGGGCAGAGTTTCCACAATAAAGAACAACGACTTGATCGCTGGGCAGGTTATTTTAGTGAACAGTTCAATTGGCCCAGTGCTAATACGCTCAGTCCGGCAATTGCGGCGGAAACTCCATGGGTGGTAACATGCGAGCCTCTATCAGAATCCGAAGTGTGAAGCTGCATTCGATCATTGAAAAACGGGAAGGCTGCAGGACTTATTGGGCTTCTCTGTATTCTTTTCAAGGTGGGCGGTGATTCTCTTTTCGTCTGTTACTAGTTTACTTCGTAGCACTTGGTCGGAGGAGCGTATCCCTTTGTCCTGGGGTGAATCGTCGATCGCCCTCATCTTCAAGAAGGGATCACGCAACGACCTTGGTGCAGATGCGATTTTTCGTTGAAACTGAAAGGTCGTGTATATTGCGCCAGTGTGCGGTCAGTTC